CTGGAAAATGACATAGAATTTGAATCTACATATTATTGTATGCAAACTATTAGCCATCTAGTGATGGATCCAATAAAATCCAAAAAAACTTTAGGAAATTCACATTAGAAATTTTGACTAAAAGTATTCCATCCTTATACCTGAAGAAATGCTGTAATCTACATTCTGGCTTAGAAACACATCTCCATTCAACTTGCAGGAATGTACAATGACATAACTTACATAACTAATTTCTAAGTAAACTAACCTGTTGGACTATTTGTGGCAATGCTCATATCTTTTAAATAGTCATAAATAACATGATTTATAATGCTTAATAGAAAGTCAACTTTTAAAAAACCTTTTCCATAATACTCCCTGGTTAATATATATATATATATACCAATATTTTAGCCAGATATTTCATAAAAGATATTGGTGTAAAACTGACAAAATTAAAATACAAAATTTCACATTCAAACTTACCAACTTTATTAAGTATAAAGTTGTATAAAAATGGAAGTTATCATTTTCCTACACTGAAAATATATTTCTGATAGATACTTACCACTTCTCACACAAGAGCTTTTCTCATTCAGTGCTGTCCTCTATATGCAAATTTATTTTGCTCACCACTGGTCTTGAAACTCTCATCTACCCCACATCAACATGGTTTACTGTCTTCCCATATAAATATCATGAGACAATCCTCCACCACTCTCTTGATGCAGGTTACTCCCTCTAATTGATTTTGCCTAACAACTACTTTGAAACTAGGCAGAAAATAAGCACCAGTAGTGGGAAGGAAGGGTGGGAAGTGTGAGAGAGGTAAGTACCTATCGGAAATATATTTTCAGTGTAGAAGAAGAATAACTTCTGATAAGTTGCCTTACCTCCGCTCACTTTAGAGTTAGAATCTCACATTGAAAAGGTGGAGAGACTGGTGTGAGGGATATAGATGAGCTACTTTCGAAAGCATCCAAAGAACATTCATGAAGAGTAGCCTACGCTTGGAGAGGAATACCCATGGAAGGCTGCACCACTTCTGCACCAGGTATACTTTTTGCCCAGTATGATAGTAAGTGTCACATAACTGGGTAAAAATCATTAAGGGTACATCTCCGATTGGATAGAAAAGATGGATGATCTGGCCCTACACCTCATAGAAATCTCTGGAAAGCATAACCCCAGAGAAGAATGCATGCAGGGTCACCAACCACAGAAAATAATGGTGGGAAAATCTAAAACAGATGTGTTACATTGTGTAGAATGGCTAGGACATGTCAGACTATACCCAACGGGTTAACTCAAGTCCAAAGCCAGACAGCATCAGGTATGTATTATCCAACCCATGATAGGAGGAGGGTCCACACTGTCTTCACCTCAAGTTTAAGAGACAGGTGTGAAGTTTCAAACCATCCGACTAAACAGGGAATGTGCAAATCCACAACCATCACCAGCCATTTGCGAAAACAACATCCAAACAGCAGTAGGAAGGAATGTGCAAGTGTGGCAGTTTACTCAAATCCAAGACCTATCAGAACAGTTCCACTCTACACAACATCATCCTCCAGGTTTGAACTTTACAGAATGGAGCGCATGGAAAAACTACACCTGCCCCACACAACATCAGCCTCTAAGACTCCATTACACAGAATTGGAGTGCAAGGGGAAGAACCATGTGACCATGGTAGTACACGCTCTAATTCAAAACAATTCTCTGGGAACTGACATCCAGTCAATGGAAGGATGAGGGATCCCAATCCAAGAGGTGAACTGCATTGTAGCAGATCTACTCATGATATAGTGTATGATTCAGGTGGAGGATCTATGGCAACTAACCCTGCAGAACACCACTGCCCTACTGTCAAATGAATGGAACTGATACATGGTCCACCAACCCAGCAGCTAGGAAATGGTAAGTGGTAAGGTCTCCCTTTCTCCATTAGAAGAAGAGGGAGAATGCACTGGAGAGTCTTGAGGAATGCTGACACTGGAGACAGTGCAATGGGTGACCACAAAGTACCTATTCTGAAAAGCATACTGCCCCCCTCCCAGTTATTCAATCAAAAGAACAATGGGGATAGGCAGCTATTCCTTTCTGCTTTACTCATGGTAGTCCATGAGTCAGTATGGTCTGGAACAGGCATATTATGAAGCAAAACATAGTGAGAAAAACCTACAGGTGGTTGTGTGGAACATCCCATCTCAACAGTGTGCATTATTGGCCATGGGTATACATCCATACTGGTGGGCCCAGCCGTCACCTAAAGTAAATTTGGTGTAATGTTCCAACCAACCCTCACTGCACTACACCATACAACATCATCCTTTTGAGCCCAACTCCACAAAGGTGGAGCACTTGGAGAAGCAGATTATACCTCATGCAACATCAATCACTGTGCACAACCCCACAGGATGAAGCACATGGAGAAGATGCCCCAAACCACGGAGTCAAAACATCCAAGCAAAAATAGGAGGAGATGGAGTGTGGAATTGTGATGCATTCTCCCAGTGCAAGATAACACTACAGTGCCAAACACAAGAAGTTGAAGTGCATGGTGTAGATGTGTATCCTGTGCAACATAATCATCTAGACAGAACTGCACAGAACTGGAGTACACAGATTATCATTCGATGCCATGCACAACCTCAGTCCTCATGGTGAACAGAGCAGGATCTGTGCAACATCAACCTCTGGGTCCCACTGCATGGAGGTGGAGCACTTGGGCCACCAAGCAGTAGATAATATACTTGGTATGACTTATGGTAGGCTGTACAGTGTGTAATTTTATGACTGATATGCAATAAGTATACCTGAACAGGCAACGCTCGCCACTGAGCGGGATCCATGAACTAATAAGGATGTGCTTCTGTAAGAAAAAGGAAATGCAAATCTCTGAGCCACAGTTGAACTGATGTGTGAAGTATGGTGAAAAGCAAAAGTTGATACCCAAACAAGGAAGAAACGGCTACCCAATGAAGGTAGAGGGAGATGAACTTATGAAGGGTATTCCACATGCCCAAAGAATGACCTGGAGAACTTCTGGAAGAAGGAGATAGGGAGGAATATGCTATACTGACAAGCTGAGGAACTGAACCCGTCAGGCAGCAGACAAAAAAATCACTCTGTGAGGAAAGGTTCCAGTGAATGAAGAGGTGGGATTGGGAACCACAGAAGGAAGCTGTGCAGGCAATATAACAACAAAGAGCAAGAACAGGACACAGAAGTCAATTTGGATCTGAATGGGAATAGAGGTGGAAAATGGAGGGAAGGGAAGTTGGCAGAAACAAAGAACTCTTCTTAAGAGCCACTGAAGTTTTGGGCAGGAATGATTTATCCAAATAAAGGAGAACATATATGGAATGGAAAAGTTTCCATGAAACATTGATGGTAAATATCTCAGACTGACAGTGCCCACAGGCAAAAAGGAGAAGGAAATAAGTCTGTAGAGACAGGTGATACATGAAACAGAGGGAGAATAAGGGAGTGGAGAACAATAGTGACATCCCAATCTGAAAGGACTGCCTGACAGGGAGATTGACTAATCCAGAAGGAATGCAATAACAGGGAAATAGTAGGAGAGGAAAACACAGAATGGTACATTTACAAACAGAAGGTACTGGAAAGGCTGCCTGATGACCCTCAATGGATGAAACAGAAGCACCACGATCGAACAGCCAGGTAATACAATCTGCTAGGAAAGGGACAGCAGGATGAGAAAGAGAAACCCCATGGCAGAGTGACCAATGATGGAAGACCTTTCACTTCTATTGATAAACCGTGACGGAGGAAAGGCAAACAGAACAGTTCAAAAGGGATGCTATACGCATGAATAAACTGGATCTCCTTGCAAGGGACCGGATAAATGCCACGCGTGAAGACAGAATGTGTGAAGGGTAGGATCAAGAGCCAGTGACTGAGGTTGTCAAACGATGGAAAGTGTCAGAGGAAGAGGGAATGGAGAAGTTGAAACTTTGTAGAATGGACTGCAACTGCCTGTTGTAGAGACATAAGTGTAGAGAACAACGTTTCAAAAGTCTTCCACCTTTCGTCTTCAGGTGGAAGACTTTCGAAACGTCATCCTCTACAACAGGCAGTTGCTGTCCATTCTACAAAGCTTCATCATGAATACTCTGCCTAAACAATCTATCAAAGAATGGAAAAGTTATTTGGAACTGAAGGAGAATTGGAAACCAGGGTTGTGCCAGCCAAAAAGGAGCAACTAGAAGGACCTAACACAGTGTATTGGACAATTGGAATCACCCTGACAGAAAGGGCCAGATTGTAGGTAGGCATATAGGTACTGGTTGCTCCAATCTTGACTGAGAGAATCCACAGCAAATGCTTGGCGATGAGGAATTGGAGACCAAAAGAGAGATAACTTGGTATTGAGGCAAGTGATGAAAGCTTCCAGGTGAGGAGCAGAGTCACCAGAAAACTTGAGGGTTGAAGAACCACTCTGTGGGGTAAACTGGACCAGATTAGGAAAGGCAGCTTGCCACAATGTTGAAGGCACTTGGAACATGACACGCTAAGAGATGTATAAGAAGCATGTGGGCTCAAAAAAGAAGTTCAAAGGTCTGAGAACAAAGCAAATGAGAACAGGTGCCCCTTGGCAATGGATATACGACACAACAGTGGAGTTGTCAGAATGGATCATAACCAATTTGTTTGAAACAAAGGGAAGGAAAAGTAAAATACACTGCCAGAGGCTCCAACATGCTGATATGAAAGGATTGTTTGACTTGAGACCATGTTGCAGAAGCAACCTGATGGTCAACCCCTGAAGGAAGCATCAGTGGACAGGTGCAAATCCAAATTAGGAAGAGAAAGTGGCACCCCATCGTAGTGGTGTCTCTGTCCAACCACCAACAAAGTACCTAGAACAAAAGGAGGGAGAGTAATAGAGGAGTCCAAGGGATCCCAAGCAAGATTCCACTGATCAAGCAACATCCACTGAAGAGACTGCATATGCACACAACCCAAGGGAATAAGGGCTACCATGGAGGTCCAAGTCCCCAAAAGCAACAGAACCTCACATGCAGAAAGTGAAGGAGAGGAATGGGTGTGGATAAATGAAAGCACCATTGAATATAGACACTGGGGAGAAGGTTGAGCCTGACTAAGGCAGATGTTAAAAAACAACCTCAAGTGAACAAGATATTGAGTAGGTATAAGGAAAGACTTCTCCATCTTGATAATCTAATCCACATGAGCTGCTTCAGTTAAAAGCAGATGAGTGAGGTGAGAAGCTACAGGTTTGGAAGGAGCTAACAGAAGGCAGCTGTGCAAGGAGTGGTGGAAGCACAGACATCTAGTATTCACAAGTTGGGCAAATGCCTTGATCATCCAACAAAAAGCATAATGTGCCGAGGCAAGTGCGATCTTGGGGGAAGACAAAAAGCTTGGAATAAAATCGCAGAGAAGGAAAACTGACAAGCTCTATAGCATGCTGTGAGAGCATGCTGTCTGTCTGAACTGCCCTGGAAAAATGTTGGAAAGTAGTGGGATCCCAAAGAAAAGGGAAGGACACTTGATCATGAGACTAGGGAGGTGGGGAGAGGTGCTGGAGAAAACATCTGTCTGAGAGTAGCCGTATCACCCATGGGTCAGGAGAGAATTCCTGCAACAGGTGGATAAAACTGGCCAAACATGCCCCCACTGGGCTGGTACCCACAGGATAGTCACTGGAACCATTGGCAGCAATGAGTATCCTGGTGAGAGAAATGCCTTTCCGAAGGACCTCGGAAGGAAGGAACAGGTAAGAACTACAAAAATAATGTCTGAATGAGAGCCTATTGGTTTCATTTTATGGTATCTATTGTCTGTCAATAAAATTTTCTTTCATTCTTAGTAAATATCTTTGTAATTTACATTTTCTAGTTTTAGTTGGATCTATATCCAATTTTACAAATTTAGTTCTATCACTTAAAATTTCTTTAACTTTATTAACATAATCAGTTTTATTTAAGATAATGACATTATTTCTCTTATGAGATTACATAATCACATTATCTTAATTGTTACTTAAACTAATTAAGGCCAGAACTTCCTCCTTGTATATAATTGTAAGTTTTATTTCATAGTTGTAATTATTAAAAAAATATTAAGGCAATGGTATTTACTTAAGCATTTATGACAGATATTGTGTTTAAACAGCTGCAACAGCTGGTCAAAATTCAATCAATAATCTTCAAATTTAAGCCTTTGTGGAGGAATAACAAATTTTAAACCATGAGCTAACACATAATTAGATAAATTTTCTTAGCAGATTCAATTTCTATAAATGATTATTTCTACACATTAAAAGACTTATATGATTTTGTGTTTTTATACAATTCAGTAAATTATTGTAATCTTATTTTCTGATTTGTTTTTCAAACAATGAAACATTATTTACTATTTGTTGTTCAGTTACTTTATCTGTTTTTAGTTTTGTTTTATCTAAGAATATAACAATTGTTTCTTAAACTGTAGGTTGTGTCTTTCATAATGAAACTGAGAAATAGATACCTTAAAATTAAACTTAGGTGTTACCTTATATATTTTACAATGTTCCGCTACTTTAAATGTAATTTTCAGTTTTTCTGATAAAATAAAATTATACCTATTAATTATTACAGCACCAATAGACTTATGTTTGATAAATCTGTTAATATATTATGAATTTTAATACTAAATGAAATATGTATATATAAATTATTGAATTTAATATCCAGTATTTAATGGGCCACCATTATTTTAAATTTAAATTTCTAAATTTTGTACAAAAGTTAGGAATGTCAAATTGTCCTTCTCCAGTCTGGTGGAGATTAAAAATTAAAACTGTCAATGAGAATAGGCACAAAATATGTGAAAAATAAATCAAAGTATTTATCTAATACAACTACTAAAAATGGGCTAAAAAAAAAACTAGCTGCTTAAAGATAGCCCTTCCTAGCCCACTTTGTTAAGAAATAAAATTCAAGTTATATTGTGAAACCATTACTTATGATATAACCGTAGACAGTCACATTATTTCAACTACATCATAAATATAATCATAATACCTAACACATTGTATTAAAATAATAAATATATTTAGATTATAGCTAAAACATCCCTCTCCTATACAATCACTAAGACAAGACAACTAAAACCTCCAAAGTTCCACTGGATTGCATTTGAAATAGTAACTACAAGCTTTTGGATTATAACTTAGTCTACCTTCAGGTGAAACACATTACGTTAGCCTATTACTACATAATTATAAAAATGCTAATTTGTTCAATCAGTCCTGGTTAAAGTCCATTAAGCAACAGTTTTATTTACATGCAGTTTTTATTAATTATTTGTTTTTAAAAAGAGTAAATACCCAAAAATAAAATAAATGTGATTGATGCAGATCATTTACAGAATAAAATATCCAGTTTTTTGTAAGCTGCATCAGTATAAAAATATTTGAATATCTTCACTATAATATGGTTTTGCTTCTTTATAAAACAATTTATTTTACTATGAATACTTTTGTAACTATTTCCTTTGTTACAGCCCTACTGAACACTACTAATTATATTATTTAGCTCATGACTAAAAGGTATACTGATTTATTTTGAAATAAAAAATATTACTTTATGTTTCTTTTCATATCAAACACTTAATTTCTAAAGGCTTAACCAATAAAGAAAGGTGAATAGCAGAAAACAACAACATTTACAAGAATTACCTTCACTGTTTTATATAAACGTTTGATCCATGTATATTCTTTCCCTCATTGTTACTGATAAGAATCAGTTTTCTGTGAAGTGAATGTAATTAAAATTGTGTTAAAACAAAAGAACTTTGCACAAAAAATTTAAATGATGAGCTAAACAATCTGTTTAATTAAAACACATACAAAAGAGTTCAATCACTTACAACATTCAGATGATGGAGCCATAGCAATGGTTGTAATACTTTATGCTCTATTAAACAATTGAAACTTAAGTCGAGTTCCTGTAGTAGCTTCAAGTGTGCCAGACCTACAAAAGAAACAAAATATTGTCAAATACAATTTTAATAAAATTACCCAATTTAAGAAATAGATACATACAATTTTCACAATACAATATTTAAAGATTATACTTTTCTCAAAGCAATTAACTTGATATTGATTGGAATACATATTCTTCAATGTATATTGCAATACAACACAAATTTTCAGCCTCATGTACTACTTATGCCTTTCTATATATTTGTTTCTATTGTTTTTAATAATCAAAATTACAATGTATCACAGTTCTCAAAAAACTGGAACAAGTTTGCAGTCTGAGGAAGAAACAAAAGTGGTAGATTCTTCTGATGTAAAATCAGCTTTGGTTTATCAATAATCAGACTCTCTTGCATCCTTGACTGATGCTCATCCCCAGATCCAATAATTATCACAACAATATTAATTAAGAGAATAAAATTACTTCTTGTCTAAACATACCATGTGATACTTCATGAATGTGTCAATAGCGCTACAATTTATATACCATATGCTCAACATTTCTCAATCACAAAGTCATATACTGAATACCTGCAGTATTTATACAGTAAACATCCAAATAAAAAGTTCACAGCTAAATATAAACACGTTAATAATTTACTTTTCTTGGATACTTTAACATAATAACATAACTAAACTAAAACTATTAAATTTAGAAAAATTCTCAAAGCCAGCCTTTATCATTCACATAGTTATCAAGCTTTCTCAAACTCATTTAAATTTACTGCCTCCACAACATCTAAAGACAACCTCTTTCAAAGGCCAACCACCCTTTTAGAAAAATAAAATTATCTTAGTTGCTCCTACCCTGCCTTTGTGCCTCTAGTCCTACCATTTTCACCATTAAGTATGAAAAAACGATGATACATCAACACCATCAATTCCCTTAACAATCTTAAACACCTCAATCTAATTCTAACTAAGAGAAAACAATTCCAGTGATCTTAACCTCTCTTCATGATAACCCTTTCATCCCAGGAAACAATCTAGTAGCCCTCCTCTGAACCTTTTCCAACAATTCCATGTCCTTCGTAAGATAAGAAGCCCAAGACTGAACACAATACTCCAAATGTGGCCAATCACATTATAAACTCTTCAGACTTGTATTAAACTCCTATTTTGCCCTACCACAAGCAACAGCACACTGCCAGGATGGCTTAAGAGACTGATCAACCACTACATCAAGATATCTTCCTTCCTTAACATTGTTAAAGTTATTCGCATCCAAATTATATTTATAATTCAAATTATGATAACCCACGTGCATTATCTTGTATTTATTATAATTAAAATCCATCTGTCATTTATTTTCCCAACTCACTAAATTATCTGAATCCCTTTGTAAAGCAACAGCATCTACCTCACAGACAGCAACATCCAAGACTATAATATCATCAGCAAATTTAACTAATTTTTTGACCATTCATTCATCTATGTCATTGATATAAATCAAAAAGAGCAAAGGTCCTAAGACTGAGCCCTAAGTTACCACACTTGTGACATTAATCCAGTTTCACTGAACTCCATTTATAACAACCTTCTGCTTTCTTCTATCCAGCCACTCTTCTATCCAATTACCTAACTTATTTCCCACACCTATAGAGATTATTTTTTACAAGCCTTTTATATGGCACCTTGTCAAATGCTTTCTGAAAATCAAGATACACCAAAACTACACCCTTACCCTAATAAACATAAGCAGTAACCTTTTCAAAGAATGTCAAAAGATTTGTAAGGCAAGATTTTACCTTAGTGAAATCATGTTGACTATCCAATAAAATTCTAAACTTTGTTAAATGACTTTGCAAAGCATCTTTTATCAGACTTTCCAAACTTTTCCCACAACTGATACTAACAGGCCTATAATTACTGGAATAATTTTTATCACTTCCCTTGAAAAGAAGAGTAACATTAGCCAACTTCCAATCATCTGGCATCTGCCCACAATTCAAAGACTTAAAAAATAAAAATAGTAGCAAGTAGCTCACACATACAGTCCTTAACCTCCTTCAAAACCCTTGGGGAAATATTATCTCGCCCAGCACATAAGCAGCAAAATAGTTTTGAAAACAATATATATTTTCAAGGCTTTATGGTCATTTTGATAGCTTCCTACCTACAGTGACTCAGCAGTAACTTGTTGGAGACAAAATAAATATCTGAAATGCCATTCTTAAATACCTCTGAACTGAAAACAGTAATAAAGAAATTAAAAAGAATGTAAAAAAATGAACATATACAGACTAACAGGACTTTTATCACAAATATTAAGCAAGTTGGTTTTCACTTCACCAATTTTTAGCACTCAATCTATAACTAAAATTATTGTACTGAATAAATACATAACACATCAGATAAACGTTTGTTTGGACAAAATACTATTTCATTACTGTAACTGACAACCTTATGATAATCAGATGAACCGAGGATGAGTAGTAATCATGGATTTAAAAGAGAATGATGACTACTAAACATAAAGTAATTTTAAATCAACAGAATTTATCACTTTAGCTTTTCCTCAAACTATAAGTTTGTTAATTTTTTTTTAAACAACACTGTTTTGTTCACATATATTATTTGGATAACCTTTTTTTGTTCAGCACTTCAAATCATAAATGAGATTTGTTTTTTAAGCATTAAAATATTTGTTTTTATTTTAGATAGTTGACAAATCCCTAAAATTTAAAAATCATTAGCTAAATCCCAAAATAACATTTTATAGTATTTGATTGAAACCAAAAGCAGTATTTCCACCATAAAATTTAAGAAAAATACCATTGATATCTTGTAGATAATTGTATTGTAGTGATAAGGCCCTCAAGGTAAAACAAGACTGGTAACTGAAAACGGGAACTACCGTCAGTTGGTTAAAGCTGAGGTTAAGTGAAGTGACTCTATGAAGAAACTGCACAAAAACACAAAATGATAAAACTGATTAAAACAGCCATTAAAAAATTCAAAAAAGGTTTCATTCAACAAATCACATTTTGTTTTTCAATAAGGTAACTTCATAAAATAAAATGTCTATATCAATGATTTATCAATACAACACTTTATTAACTTAAAAAAATCATTTTATTAAACTGAGTTTTTCACACTTACAATCTTCACATTACCAGTATGATTAACCAACAAGTATCCATATTGGCTCAATTTTCACCTAAGTTCGTTTTAGTAAAAATTACCATAAACATGATACTAACTTCAAACACTTGAGCTTCTACAGTTTCTTCCTATAATGTACAGCTCTATCTTAAGTGGAATTTTTTATGACATTAAACTGCATCCAAAGTAGTGACACCTATACTATCTTGTACACAAGTAGAACAGACCTCATGATTGTTGTATTTTCATTTTATACTTCTGTTGTAGTTTTCAGTGTTACATTTTTGTCTTTTTTTTTTTTTTTTTGGTAGGGATTATTGCTGGAAAAAAAAAATTCTTAAGAAGAACAGTTGGAATGGAGAGTAAGAATGTACAAGAACAAATATATTTTTCAGGTAAGTAGTTATGTTCTCACATAATTTTGGTCACTGTTATTTTTGGATATTTTATTGGTTATATAGTTATCTCAAACTCCAAACCTGTCATCACACCAGTAACTAAATCTAGGCATTATAAAAGATTCATGAGCATGTTTGAGTTTAGCCAAAGGTCCACTAATTTTTCAATGTTGAGATATCATACATATTTGCAAAATAGGATATAAAAAGTGTGATATGCAGGCATATCATATGTGTTCTACGTGCTTTAATGATACAGATATTTAAAACAATTTTCAATTATTTAATTTCCATGAGGAAAAGATGTCTAGAAGGTCTTAAGTTTACCTTGTTATATGTTTCTTTGTTCTCTATAGTAGATGTATTTGAGATGATCCAGATTAAAGGGACTGGCACTGTAATATCTTTTGCTGGATGAATATGATGTTGACTAAATGTAACAGCCAATCAATGCTGTAAGGGGACAAAGGTTATGAGATGACACTGTCGACTGGACAAAGAAAGCGAGTTTACCTGATGAATTCAGTCAAGCTTTCTTGGTTCAGTTTTTCATAGCTTTTATTGACTAGTTTGGCAGAAATGTTTCTTAAGGATGGAAAGATAACAAGCTATTCATTGATCCAGTATAAACAATTGTCCACTTGTCTATGCAGGTATACACATTATTTTTCTTGTGTCTAAATATAGACCATTTTCAAATTTGTCCAATCTGTTTATTTCTCATGCAAATTAAAACTCAGTCAAGTTATCAACCACAGAACACTCCTCTTACTTTTTGATTCAGTTTGTAGTTATATATATGGGTTTGCCTATCTACTAATGTTTATCAGGAAATTGGTTTTACTCAAAAATACCACATAAGCCCTGTATATTACTGTTTAATACTAAAAATAAATTTAAACAATTATAATTATGTTGCAAGGAATACCTAATAAGCTGTTTATAATAGTATTTAGTACTAAGAATGAAGCTATGCCTAGTTATGATTATGTTGGATGGAATACACATTAAGCTCTGTATACTAATGCTTAATACTATGAATGAGGTTATGCCTAGTTATGATTATGTTGGATGGAACACATAATAAGCTTTGTACACTAATGTTTATTCCTAAGAATGGGGTTATGCCTAGTTATAATTGTTTTGGAAGGAATATATTACCTTTTTAAAAATCACAACGTGAAACCTATAATAAATTGTTGTATTCAACCTAATAAATATTTTATGAAAATCAGAGAAACTTTGTTAATAGGCTACCAAAACATATGTATTAATCTGAGCATCCATATCAACCTCATCCTTTGTTCATACAGTATGACAACACTGTAATGTTCTAAAGTCTCATCCCAATATCTAATGATGTTTGATTAGAGATTTCAAGTTACATTATCATACTGTATGCTTTGTATAGCAGATGATTGGTAATACTGTTCTGTATTTGATCAGCTTTTGTTATGAACAATATAAAACATCAAGAAATTGTTTAAACTTTCAGAAATGTGTTGAAATTAGTCCATCAAGATAGTGAAATATTTTTCACCCATATTTTT